GCTCCAGTTTTGTGAGCTGATTATTAGGTTGAGAGGAAATTACATAAAACCGGGTAGTTAAACTTTCAAATTTAAAATACAGGCATAAAGTTTATTTAATAAAAAATCAGGTATTAATTGGATATTTTATTAATTAATTAATTCAATTCCAAACCCTAACTCACTTCATTCTCTTCATTCTTTCTCTACTCTATTTCCATTCTCTCGACCTTCTCTCCAATCTCTCTCCACTGGTGCCGTGACTAGCATCGGGTGCAGGACGAGCGTCGATGCCCTGATGAATGTCGGTTCCGCGACAAGCATTGATCTGAGCGTCGAAGCTACGACGTTGTCATAGCTATGCGTGTGGTGATGCTGGTCGGCGGCAGTGCGGTAGGTGTTCCAAAACCGCAGTTTTTTTATGTATCTCCTATTTGCGGCGTCGTCTTCTATAAACCTCACTCACCCAGTGTTTGTTTTGTGTGTGAGAGAGGGTGAAGAACTAAAGGGATAAATTGAACTGCAGTTTCCGAAACCTTTCCCTCTAAGAAGTCTTCGAAAACCGCATTTATGGGTGGCTTGCTTGGCTTAGTGCAGTTGGTGTTCGTTGGAGATTGTGGTGGTGGTGCATTGTTGGGGACTTGGGGGTAATGGTGGTGGAGGGTGGTGGTGCATTGTTGGGATGGTGGTCGATGATTGTGTGATAGTGTGGTGCAGTTGGTCGTCGTGTTTTGGTGGTCATTTTTGTTATTGTTGGCTCATTGTGGTGGTGTTGTGGTGGGGGTGTAATAGTGATTGTGACCAACTATTTGGTTGCTCTGTGACCAAGTATTGGTGGTGAATTGAAATGGGGGTGAAGTTTTTGGTGCCTGTGACCCATGATTTGGTCTGAGACATTTAAAATTTGACAATCTGTAACTAAAAAAATAATCCATGATCAATAAATTTGAAAATATGTGACCCACAAATGAACTGTGACTTGTAATTGAATGATTTGGGACCTCGAAATATCTTTGACCTTCAAAATTTTTGATTCATCGAATAACTGTGACTTTATTGTATTTATTTAATAAATATTTTTAATTATTTAAATATATACCTGAATTTTGAATTTTCAAATTAGCTACATAATTTTTGAATTGGTGTAAATGATACACTTGGATTATGAATTTTTCACTTAGGTTGAAGTATTGTTGGGCTACCTTATTTAATATTCTGGGAGATTAGTGATTAAAGTTTAATATTGAATTGCATAGTTTTGGGAATTTTTTATTATTATTATTATTATTATTATTTATTTATTTATTATTATTATTATTTTATTTTATTTTGAATATTTGGCTTTGACTCTAGAGTTGACGGGTGCGAACGGTGGTTTTGTATTTTAAGAGGAGGATCATCTTTGAGTTTTTGGCATAGGCTGTTCAGTAGGATTTCTTTCAACTGCGGCATTTTGACCAACAATATATTGTTGAATTTTTTATCTGTGCATTGGCCGTTTGAGTTTTGTCTAAACACAAATTATGTGTTAGACCGAGTTCTTCTAGCAGAGCTCACTCTGTGGGTCGACATACTTTTTGAATTTCTTTTGAAAATTCTTCTTGGGTGTGTGAGTTCTCTGGAGTGTTCTTGTATTGATGTTGGAGTAGTTCTTGATTATTTTTGTACTATTTGTTGTTCTTGGTCTCTTGTCGTTGCTAATTTTCGTAGATAGTTGCTCTGGTTTGAATTTCTTCTTCTTGGGCACAAGTATTGTCACCGCTGTTAGTTCATAATTGCAAATTGATGCTTTTACCTACATCAATTTGAGGGGGATGTGAATGAGATTGAATAAGATTACGGAGATCATCGAAGATTATAGTTATATTATAATTATAATTGTACCATATATAGATAAATTGTTTTTGCTATAATTAGATTGATTTGGTTCTATATATTAAGAGAATCTCTCGTAGAGAGACTAAGAGAGGCATCGAGTCTTATTAAGTATATTTGCCAAGTTTTATATTCCATTATACAATTCTTCATGCAGCTCGATGACAAAGATTAGCTCTCCCAAGAGCATGTTTGTCTAAGCTTTAAAAAAAAAATGTTTACTTTTCATTAACATTTTATCGCAAACATTTTTGGATAACCTACTTTTTTGAAAGTCTCTAACATAACTGCCAAAATAAGTAACCTACTTGTTTCAAACTTTCACTAATGAAAGAAATTATTTATTTTAAAACTTATTTACTTATAAGTAAACTTTGCCAGATGTGCTCTTAGTACACGGAATGATTGAACCAAATTTTGTTGTAGGTGATGCAATGGATGGAGGAGGCAGGCGTTCGACCGTCAACTCAAATGTACCAGAATATCCTTTCGTTTGCTCAAATACGTAGTGGAACTGAACATGGTGCTGTCATAAAAGAACGAATAGGTAAATTTCTGAAGTATCACTTTTTGCGTATGTTGTCTTGGGGAATTGTCATTGAAGGGTTCGGTTGTTTTTGAAAATTGGCCATTCGTAATTCCTCACTATTTTGAAATCCTTTGCGTATTATTTAGTGTTTACAGGTTAGTAAATAATAGAGAAACTAGAAGGTTAATATCTTTTATGGAAAAGAACTTTTTTTCTTTTTTCTCTCTCTCTGTGACTAGGATCATCCCACGATTTTGATGTCGGTTTATTATAGGATCGTCACACAATTGATTCAATCCTCATTAAATTCATCCTATTGTTCTGCATAATGATTAATGTCGATTTCACGATCAGATACCATTGTTGTTAAATGTTAATGCTCTTGTATGTAGAATTTATCATACTGTAATCTCTTGGCTTTCTTTTAACTTGACAGCATACTTGAAAAGGAAATACGATTATCCAATTTCAACAAGCAAAGATGACATGATGACACAACAGGAAGAGAGTAATATTCCAGGAAGGTGAAATTTTTTCCTTCGTATATGGCAAGCTGATATTGATGACATGACAGGTAAAAGCATCGATTTTTCTTGAAAATCTATATGGATGTCGAGACAGGCTATGGGATTGTGAGCCCGATCTCTGTTTTTTGCCTCCGGAAATGGAGCTGGATCCGAGTGTTAATCCATTTTGAAGTACAAGTACACTGATTTTGTATCCGTTTCACTGTCCAATTCTTGTATACGAGAATTGTGTATATAAGGCATGTCATGAGATAAAAATGTGTTACATTAATAAGTACTTATAGTAACCAAAAATAGAATGTTCAAAAATAATTTTGATTTTCGTTTTGGAAAATTAAATTAGAGATACATTATGAGTTTTAATTTGTTTTAAAAATTTGAAAATATGTTATCTGAAATCATTTCAACTGAGATTTTTCTTAATTGATTTTAGATAAATAGGACTTCTAATAATTTATAGTGGTATATAACAATAAATATGAAAATATAATGCCAAATAGATGATTGAATTTTGTATTCCCTTGCCTGAAATTGATGTAAGAAAATTTAATATATATGGTTGGGACTATAAATTTTATTTGCATTTTTTTAATAAACCTCTAAATTGAATAAGAATAGTTTATATTTAGTTTATATTTGGTCTTCGTTTTTTTAAAAAATTATTTTCAATTACATATTCTCCAATAAAATAATTTTATATGTAAATTAATTATTATTATTATTATTATTATTTTTTTTACTTTTTAACCAAATATTTTTTTAACAAAACACTATTCTAAAAGTGGATTACACCAATTCATGGTTTTTAAATTCTCGATTCAAAAATCAGTCTGAAAGTTTATTGTTCAAAAATCAGGTAATTTAAATTTCTTAATATTATAAAATTAAATTAATTTAACTCAACACTCATATACATACCTACTCCAGCACTCACCTCAAAACCCAACCCCACGTAACCATAATTCATGTTTTGCTTTTTCGTTTTCCACTCTACACCCACCCAATACCCGGTATCGACGATCATTGTGAGTGGCAATAGGCGTATCATCGACAACAAGCGCATTAGTTGTGCGATCTCTCTCTCGCTCGTCTTCTGCATCTGTTGTTCACCATTCACAGGCGTTGTTGCTCGTCGTTTGCAATGCAGTCATGCGCGAGTAGTGCTGTTGATGGTGTTGGTGGTGCAGAGGCAGTGTTGGTTGTTTGCGACAATTCTGGAGGTGGTGTTTCGTAGCAAAGTAGGCGGTGCAGTTTGGATATTGGTGTTATGGTGGCGGTGTGATAATGGTGGTGATGGTGTCTGTGGTGTTACGGTGTTTTGGTGGCTGCAATGGTAACGATTGGGTGGTGGAGTGGGACAAAAAGTTTGCAATCAATTATTTGAGTGTTGTGAGCAATAAATAATATGTAATCTAAAATAATTTTTGATTGAAAAATATTTTGTGATCAATTAATTTGATAATTTGTGAATGAAAAATAATATGACCTATAAATTTTTTTATTTGTGATCGAAAAATAAGTTGTGATCGAAATTTAATTTGTCACTAATTAATTAGATATGTTGTAATCATAAAATAAGAAGTGACTTGTAAAATTTGTGATTTGTTATCAATGAATAGTACGTGACCAATTAATTTAATAAATTTGTGATCGATGAATAAATTGTGACATAAAATTTTTGATTTGTAATTGTGAAACAATTTGTGACCTATAAATTTTTTTATTGTGATTGAAAAATAATTTGTGACCAGGTTGTATAGAATCGTGGCCTTAATATATTTAATTAATAAAATATATGTTTAATTAATTTATTTATTAATATATTTTTTTTAAATTTGATTTTTGAAATTTTAAACTTTGTTTCTTAGTTTTGAAATGTTTTATACTTATAATCTCTCATATATCAATTTTTCCCATTCTAAAACGTATTTTGGTCAAAAAATAAAATAGGGTTCATTGATAACAAGGTAAAAAATAAATGAAAAAAATTATTATACTCTCAAAAAGGAAAGTAGCTTATAATTTACTAAAAAATTGATTTTTAACTAAATTAAATAAAGACTTAGTTTGTTAGGAAAGTGTGAACAAAATCCAACACAGACTAATTAATTGGATTACTACTCTTTACAATATATAGGTCAATTGAGATGGAACCCTCCCAACACAAAAACGTGACAATCCCAAAATTATTGGTCTCATGCGTTGTTTTCAATTTGTCTTTATCAAAATGCTGATCGGTTTTTATATTGGGGAAAAAGGCCTTTAAAACTGAGTTGAAGTCAGATAAAAGTGAAAGTTTCAAATAAATTATTGCAAATTTACCTAACTTAATTGTTAAAACGTTGGTGTCCAGTGTCAACCTCCTATTTGTCAATTTTGTCGATTAGGGTTTGTTCTTTTTCAAACATCATATTAAAAATTACGAATCATGTTCTTTTAAGTTTCTTAATAATATGTTGTGGTCTTCCCCATAACAAATAAAGAAAATATCTAGATCTAGTACTTTCAAGTGTCAAACGAATTTCCGAATCAAGATTGTCCCTCGGAGCATAGCCCAGTGTTGCAAAGGATATAAGTAAAGTTATCTCACGCCTTACTGGCAGTCGCAGTGTGGGGATTCGATTTCTGAGATATGAAATTGGACTTCTTGTAGGTGTTGTGTACAAGCAGCTCTTGTTCCCTGATCTACTAGGACACATCCCGCGATTTACCTTCCTCACAAAGCTCTAGGAGCGGGACGGTGGGGGCCTACAATGTTGTGGTTCAACATTTTTTTTTTTTTTAATAATTTCCGAATCAAGACTACAATGCATGATTACTGGCGCTGCCTGAATATGTCTGCGATGATTCTTTTTATTGTCATGTTAGGTGTATATATTAGTTGGATCTTACTTATTACTGTTTGATTTACCCAAAATTAACAAGAAGCACGCCAACAACTCTGTATTAACTTAGATTTGACCACAAAGACCTACATGTCGATTGTGCTTTACTAAGTCCAAGTTCAAAGAATATATTAAATACCGGGTTTAAGGCCTACAAGAAAAATCTCACAAAGAAGCATAAATACAAATGGGTATATATTGATTTGTAGCCAAATTGGGGATAGGGGTTAAAAAATTTGGTCGATTTTGATATATTTTGTAACAAGTGTCCATTTTGTAATGTTAGAAGACAAAAACACCATTTTTTAAGAATGACCGAAATGATTGAGAGGTGTAGATTTCATAATACATTTCTAGGTGCCCAAATCTCTAACTTACCAAATTCCTTGCACGACAAGACTTGCAAGCAAAAAATGCTATTGTCCGCCCCCAGGACACATCTCCAAGTAGTAAAAGGGGAGGGTGGAGAAATCCAACTTTACTTGAGGCTGCCGCATCAATGGTTCGAATCCTGAAACATGGATTTGGCTCTTGGGTAAGTGCAAGTATACAAGCAGCCTTCCACCCTGTACCCTTGGAGGCATAACCTGCGATTTACCTCCCTCACGATGCTCCAGGGCAGGGACGGTGGAAGACCCTTAAGGTTGGGGTTCAACCTTTTAAAAAATGCTATTGTCCAATAGTTAATAGAAGATATCTGGAAGTGATTAATCCTATTACTCATGGAAAACCGAAAACACAATCTATTTATAGCTTGTTTGATAGAGATTTTGATAATTAATTTTTTGATCGTTAGAGATAAAGTGAGTCCTACATGTGAGAGAAGAATTCAAATATGACAGCGGAAATAATGAAATAACGGTCAAAAAATTGATTTTTGTTGACTTTGAATCCGTAACAAACAGGCACGTAGTAATGGACTTTCTTTGAATTGAGGGAAGGCTTTATAGAGGGAGTTTAGGATGGTTTCAAAATGAGAGCATATAGCTTTTTCGAGAGTGCTAGGACGAAGGTAAACCTGATGCCAGTAACTGTCTTAGGGAGTCGATAAGGTTTGGCTAGAATTTCTTTTCTTCTTGCTTTTTTTTTTTTTTTTTTTTGGATTCTTGAAAATGGTCTGAAGTTGGTTCTAAGGACCAAATAAATTTACCTTTCTACATGATAAAAGAGGGAATCGTATAACAAAATGCCCATTAATTTCGATTTCCTTAAAAAAAAATAAGTTGAGGATCATGCTCGATTTTCTCACTTATGATACAAGAAGTAAACATTTGAAACATAATGTGTTATTATGAACACTCTTTTAACATGCCTGCTACACATTCTTGAGGTGTTTTGCTTTAAATTTATTTAGAAATAAGACTTATTTTGTTTGTTTGTTTGTTTGTTTTCTCTCTCTCGAGACGAGCAAATAAAATTTATTTTTATCTTAAATTTAAAAATCATACAATTTTCATAAAGCGAATTTTCATAAAGCGACAATGAACTAGATAATCTAAATTATCACAATATCAAACCAAACTAGATGTTTCACGTGATGTACTGTGCCACGTCTTCAATAAACTGGTTAGAAAATAGTTGGTTAGCACAAATATTTGTTAATGACCTAATCAAATAATTGAACAATATTTAAATAATATGACATGCATTTTATCCTTTAAGAATATTTAATTAAATAATAACATTCAATCAAATTCCAACACGTTATACGTTCGAATTATTTTATGTTGCCCTTTATGAAAACTAAGATATGCCCTTTCCCGGAGCTTCCCAAAGATCCGAATTTGTCATTTACACCCGGAAAAGTTCCGGGAATTTGTTATGAATTCTTGCAAATATTTATTTATATGGTTGTGAGAATTTAAATTAGAGTAATCTATTCGTACATCGTTGTGTATATAAAGATAACATGAGAGAGGGAGAGATTATAATAATTGAATTTATTTTCTTTCCTTCTCTTTTTATATATTTCCCTCTCTTTCATGTCATCTGCAAATAGCATTACTCAAATTAATTAATTACAGTACCTTAATATTTTCTAATTTATTTATATCAAGTCGAATTTTGCATACAAATAAAGGGATCACTCTATACTCGTAAATATGCAACATGTGATCCCCACCTATAATTACACATTTTGATGAAAATATATCTCCATCTTAATTTTCATCGATGACTCTCGTAAGATTTTCATTAAAAAATTGTCCACATTCTCAAATGCCCCTACAGCAATCTCCGCAATCAAATCTTATCTACTTCTTGAAATAGCTATTGTCATCAGGTTTTTCAAGTTCGAATACAATCCTTCTCTCGCCCCATATAAAGCCTTCCTCTTGTTTAAAGAAAGTTATGTCCTAGTCTATTTGAGCTAAATAGCGACTCACATCACCTATCGATGAATTTTTCATCAGTAGAATTACATTATTACATGATTATAAGCTAGAAAATTATATTTAACAGAGGTAATTAATTAATTAATTATAATTAAATGGTGTAGGCAACTTCTGCCAATTTGATCTGTCATTGACCCGGTTTAGTTGTCCAAGATCTGGTCTAAAATATCTTAAAATATCTGCATGGACGCAAATATCTCAAAATATCCCGGTTGGTAAAGGAATCTCATCAGATAATTAACAATAAATCCAAATCTAACCAATTTTAAACCCCATCTCTCTGTAATGTTTTGTACTTAACTGTAAAAGTGAAAATAAAATATAATATTGTAATCAGTGCCAATATTGTCTTTCTCATATTTTTATATAAATTTAATAATTGAAATAAATGAACTAGACTATTCGTAAATGATACGATTGAACACGACAATTGACAAATTTTATTTCATATTTCATGCATTCTTTAATATCTGTTCAGTTAGGTATGCTCAAAGTAAAATTTAAGTGTTGCATACGATATGTCGGATCATAGACAAAAGTCAAAGTTCAATAATAAACAGAACTTAAATCAAACCTTTAGTACATTTTTTTTAAGAGGCGGAGAGGTGACCGTTGCTTGAAGGAAATCCAGTTAAGAAAAACCGAAATGTATTCATATTAAACCAAGTTTCAACCTTTTTTCCTTCTCAATCTTGCTATGTATTATTCAATCCAAGAAAACAAACCTTGAAAATTATATACACAAGTCATAAACGTTGCATACTAAACCAAATTTTGTTCTACAATAAAATCGAGAGAATTTAGAACCTGTTTGGGAGTGATTTTGAGAATTGATTTTTTGACTGTTAGGAGAAAAGTGGGGTCCACTTATGAGAGAAGAAGCCAAATATGACAATTGGAATAGTGAAATAACGGTCAAAAAATCAAGTTTTTAGGTGAAAAAATCGGGCCCAAACAGGCTCTTAATTAATATCTGATAAATTAATAATTTCAGTTAAAAAATATCTTTGGCCAATCTCTTTTCGAGATTGACGTACTAACTTAATATTTTGCTAAGTTTATTAAAAAAAAATTGTAAATCCCACGTAATAAGTAAATTAATCTTTTTTTGAGGTAGTACATATGATTCGACTAAAAGTCATTCCTAAAATATAATTCAATCATTATTCGTATTTTTCTTGCTACCTTGAATATCTTGTATAATGTTTCTTACTGTAGGAGTTTTGGTGTGATTTTCTCATATTGCAACCAAAAATTATTCAACGTTACACCACTTTGAAAATTTCTTTTAGCTAAAGCGGCTCCATAGTAGAATTGTCGTCTTCGATTCACTATCTTGATTATTTCTGAGGACGCTCTCAATTACGTGCTCGTCAATCAACATCTCTAAATACGAAATACGTTGATAAATTAAAGACCATACAAATAGTAAAATTAGAAACTTTGCTCCATTCGATGGCAATAATTTGTTTTTGCAACCGGTAATTGACCTATTTTCAAAGAATCTTATACGCTATCTACTAACACGTTCTTTTATTAGTTTTGATGGCAGTAGAGATTGATCAATTGGGGAAAATAAAATAGAAATAATTAGTAAATGTGAAGCAGAAGCTAGAAAGAAGATTAAAATTCCAAATTCAAAACCAATATAATTAATTAATCAATAAATTCTGTTAGTGAAAAAATAATTTTTATAATTATGTTTAAAAAAAATGAGTAATTTAAAAATAAATTTGACTTCTAATACAACGAACATACTCTAAATAAATTTTCAACATAATGATTTATAATCAACCATGAGTAAGTTGACATGAGCCCTCCAATGAACGAATATAACAATGGTGTATAAACAAAATCTACCATGTAAACAAAATCTATTGTGAATAGTAGGTAAAGAATTAGATAAAAAAAATTATGTACATCTAGTATTGTCCTTTAATTTGATTCCCTCTAAAATCATCTTGGTGTCGTCGTCTCTTTCATTTTACCATATTGATCGCAGCCTGTGCCGGACTTTTGAAAATCCCAAATTGAATGGGCTCGCAGCCCCCCGGCTAACTTGTTTACGATATTGGGAATACTCTTGTTCTTTATCGAAAGACTTGGTATACGATGAATAGAGACAAAATAGACTTTTTTCCATTCTTTTTTAGGAAATGAAATACAGGATACAAGGTACCTAAACAGACATATTAAAGTCTCAAACGCGCAATTATAATTAATTAATTTCTTATATTCTGATATTCCCTCTGCAACATAAAATCACATCCTAAGCAAGAAAATACTGAGTTCTGGCCCTCCATTGCCGTCCGGGTTTATCATATAAAAAGCTTCCGAGTCACGACTTCCCACGACTCGCTCAAACCTAGCTCTCATATACAGCAACTCGCCTTCTGAGGGACCCTTTTTCTTGCCATCTTCCACCACTGGAATCACGCCGGCTCCGACGGACACTCTCTGGACTGTGTTGAGTAAGTGCCAGTCTGACTCGGTACACGACCGTGACTGTGCATGGCCACACTTCCTCCCATTACAGTACATTGTCCACATTGGCTCATTGAACAACCTCACTGGTGACTGGCGGCTGCCACCACGATTCGGAGGTGGGGACTTTTCGCACTCCAGGGCAATCCGGACTAGTGCTGATGACATCTCCTTCACTAGCATTGACGTTGAAACAGCAAATTCGATTATTAACACAGGAGCTGAAGTTGGATCAACTTGAACGGCAAAGCTCACGTAACCTCTCCTGTAACCAAATAGGGTACCGGTGACTCTACGGCCCAGAGAGGGCACAATCGAGAGCTGAGTTGGAATTGCGAGCCATTTACATACTGGGATGACTATGATAGGGAAGGAGATAAAGTGGAGGAGTGATCTGAGAAGGGATGTCAATCCACTACGGGTGGCTTTGTTTAGACGATGGAACGTGCCAGAAGAATCTCTCCGGACAAGAGACCTTTCATGGAATACGTCCGAGGATTCAAGGTTTAGAGACGATGATCTTGGTAAGTTTACTGGGATGATATTGTTGGTGCTTTCACAACTGCTGGTTCTTGACAGAGAAGTGTATGCCATCTTGAATTATTTCTTCTTTGATGTTACGTTTTTTAGTAATAGTCGCGTTTTTTCTAGTGATACGGGATGGTCTGTGTACGTACTACTGTATTTTAAGTGTGTGTGAGAGAGAGAAGAAGAAGAAAATGGACAGAGGCCGACAAAGTGATGAGAGAAAGGGAAAGTATGTAGGTTTGTGGTGGATCACTACAATGGAGTTATGTCTTTGTATGCATATATATACACAAATAAAAAATATTTTTTTAAATCATATTTAGGTAAGATTTATTACATGGTCCGGCAATGCATTATAACAAATACACGTGCAAGGACTTGATGATAATGATCTTTGTTACCAACCCTCCAAAAAGGACACACTTTTATTAACGTGACTAAGAGTATCGAAATTTTTTGAAATGATCCACAAGTTTAGATGTTTGCTTAATATTCACAACTGAAAATATTAGATTTACAATTTGGGGCGTTCAAGTTTTTTATTTGTCGACTCATCAAATTTATTGATTGGACGTAAAAAAAAAAAAAAATAAATAAATAATAATGTTCTTTTAGCTAATGGCCATAACATATTCTTATGGTCGAGATATACAAATTTGGTTCCATGTTATTGGTAAGTCTCAAAACAAAGTACTTTCACTTTCTTCTTATTCTAAGGGAACAAGTCCAACATTGGATCCAACCACGTGTCTAATGTAAAGCAATTTTCTACATGATTATTGACCGTTAGATGAGGGTCACTATGGTTGGAGTTAGTGAATCCAATGGGGAAAAAGGCACTTAATTATTCGTTAGCTATGACACCCTCCTACTATCAGTTCAAATTATCAAGTTCCTGTCAAAAAAACTATTATCTTAATACATATATTTCTATATAATTATGATTCGATAATTTATGTAAAATTCAATATGATTGAAAGAAATGACCTGCACAAATTAAGAGGCGTGATATATGGTTATCGAGTTTCTGATCATCCAAGTTGAATGTTGAATTTATATATTTCTCATCGAATAAATCAAAATTTTGGTGAAGAATAGTCGGATACATAAGATTACAATTGCTTTAAGTACAATTTGTCTGATTTCCTACTGCATAAGATTTTTAAAGGGTGGATCGCACAATTGCTTAAATTCATACTATTTTGAAAATATATTATACCATGTTATCTAATTCTATTCCATACTACATATCAAAGAGAACACCATTTGTATTAAACAAAATTCAGAGATTTTTAGACGTTCATGTTCTTCTCTGTGATGACTAGGACAAGAAATTTTTTTTTTTTTTTTTTTAATATGCCCACAAAACATTTATTTATAAAATGAAAATGACATGAGGGTTATACATAGGTCAATGCAAATAATGGAAATTGCGCCCCCACGGGCATAGTTCAGTGGTGTAAAGGACAGGAGTGAGGTTATCTCACGCCTTGCTGACAACGGCAATGTGAAGATTCGATTCCTGAGATATGGAATTGGACTTTTTGTAGATGCAGTGTACATGCAGCTCTTACTCCATGGCCTGATGGGACACATCCCGTGATTTACCTCCCTCACAAAGTTCTAGGGGCGGAGCGATGAGGGCCCTCAAGGTTGGAGTTCAACCCTTTTTTTTTTTTTTTTTTTAATAATGGAAATTGAAAGGCCACTTTGTCAGTTTGTCCCCATCCATTTTTCTCAATTTTAATTTAATTTGGGCCGGTTCTTTTTTATTTTTTTAAATTTTTAAATTTTTTTTTGGGTCAATCGGATTGGTGGCCAAACCAATTTTGATGGCAAAATCAGTTGACCTTTCTGCCACGTGGATCATTCCACACCATTAGCAGACATTATTCACCTTAACATGTGTTGCGTCAGCAATTAATTTTAATTAGGATCATTTTTTTTTTTTAGGCAGATAATGTTATTATATTTTACTATGAGGTTTAAGTGTAGTATGCACAATTCAGAAGACTGTTAGTTACTCTTAGTCAGTGATTCTAAAGTAAAATATTTTAGAGATTATCGAATTGGAGCTTCAATTTTGCGTGGATCACTTAAGTCGAATTTTCTAAAATTGACTTCTTGATTTCGTGACTTACGTTGAAAAACTCAAATAGATTTAGGGTACGTGACTTTTTATATTAGATTATAATTGTCAATCTTATATTTGTGGTTGTAATATAATTTAGTACGAGCTATATGATATATAGAAGAAGATTACAGTGAAATGTTAACCATTTAAAAGATAAAAGTATTGACGATTAGAAGTTGTATGAGCTAAAATAATTTAAAATTTATTCGATGAATTTTTGCATACATATAATGAAAAATATAATTTTCAACATAAGTGAGACTCCTATATCAAAATTAATTAAGACCCCGTTTGGTAGGGATTTTTAGACTGTGATGACTAGGACAAGACATTTTCTTTTTAGTCCCTGTTTGACCTTCATTAAATTACATTTCAAGCCCCCAGGGCACATCTCCAAGTGGTAAAAGGGGAGGGTGGAGAAATCCAGCTTTGCTTGAGGCTGCCGCGTCAAGGGTTCGAATCCTGAAATATGGATTTAGCTATTGGGTAAGTGCAAGTGTACAAGCAGCCTTCCACCCTGTACCCTTGGAGGCATAACCTGCGATTTACCTCTCTCACGATGCTCCAGGGTAGGGGCGGTGGGGGACCCTTAAGGTTGGGGTTCAACCTTTAAATTACATTTCATTGCGTTCTATTTTTCTCTTTTATTTTTAACTACACAATCTTTCATAAAATAATATTACACGTAAATCGAAAATTTTTCTTTTTTTTTCAACCATTTATTTTTAAAAAAAAAACACTATCCCTCCCATTTTCGTTACCAAAAAATGGGGGCCAAACGCGAGCTTAGTATGCCCACAAAACATTATTTATAAAATGAAAATGACATGGGGGTTATACATAGGTCAATGCAAATAATGGAAATTGAGAGGCCACTTTGTCCCCATCCATTTTTCTCAACTTTAATTTAATTTGAGGCATTCAATTTTATTTATTTTTATTTTTATTTTTTGGGGTCAATCCGATTGGTGGCCTTAACAATTTTGATGGCTAAGATCAGTTGAACTTTCTGCCACGTGGATTATTCCACACCATTTGCAGACATTATTCACCTTAATATGTGTTGCGTCAGCAATTAATTTTAATTAGGATCATTTTTATTTTTTTTTAGGTAGATAATGTTATTATATTTTACTACGAGGTTTAAGTGTAGCATGCACAATTCAGAAGACTGTTAGTTACTCTTAGTCAGTGATTCTAAAGTAAAATATTTTAGAGATTATCGAATTGAAGCTTCAATTCTGCGTGGATCACTTAAGTCGAATTTTCTAAAATTGACTTCTTGATTTCGTGACTTATGTTGAAAAACTCAAATAGATTTAGGGTACGTGACTTTTTATATTAGATTATAATTGTCAATCTTATATTTGTGGTTATAATATAATTTAGTACGAGCTATATGATATATAGAAGAAGATTACAGTGAAATGTTAACCATTTAAAAGATAAAAGTATTGACGATTAGAAGTTGTTTGAGCTAAAATAATTTAAAATTTATTCGATGAATTTTTGCTTACATATATAATGAAAAATATAATTTTCAACATATGTGAGACTCCTGTATCAAAATTAATTAAATTAATTACGTACTTTCCAGTGTTTATCCTCTTACGATTTAAAGTTTTAAAATCATCGATTAAATTAATTACAAAAGAGCTTGTGAAATGTTTTCAAAACCCATTAATCAGGTTTTTTACAAGTGACAAAAATTGTTTTCTCCATTTGTTGGCCATATGGCAACTTTCTATTGGCAACTTACATTTCACAAGGATTTGTGTTTGTTTGAAAAATTATGAGCCACTGATCAAAATGGAGAGTTGAGATTAGCTTCAACTTTTCTCTCATTAATTGAAATGGACGGTAGGAGAGAGAAGAATAAGACTTTCACTTTCTTTTGATTTTTCTTCCAAAAATGGCAGACTTCTCTTCTCTCTCTTTTTGGCGTTTTTTCTCTCTTTGGCAGAGGAAATTTCAAATATAATTTTATATAGTTTTCGGCCATATTTTTGGTAGTAAGGCCAGTATTCCGAGCCGGTGATCTGGTGGTTATTTTACAGTTGGCTGACCAGTATTTTGTGTTTTTCGACAGCGGGTTTTTTTGTCCGTTTGGTCAGATTTTTAGACTGTAAATTGATATTACTTTGGAGTCCAGGTTAGGGTCGATTAGGGCTAATATTATGAGGCTATTTGTAAAGCCGATGATCTGATTTTCTTGGTGTAAATCTGAATCTTGTAAAACGAACTCGTGTTCTTTCTTGGGAGGTTCTTTGCATAGTGACGGATTTGGGCTTTTTGCCTCTGAGGCCCCTAGATTATGCTTGGCCGAATTGAGTGAGCAATTTGTGCATTCTTTAATTTTCTGCATGATTTTTATTACTACTGTGGTTGAGAATTGGTGATTGAAACCACGCATTGGGTGAAAAATCCCAACATAACTGGTATCAGAGCCTAGTAAGGCATGGGTAAGGCATCTGTTAATACAGTTTAATTTTTTGTCATATTGATGTGTTTAATTTGATCTGTGTAGTCCAATAAGTAATTTGAACAGAAGTTCTTGGAGCTAGGGTTTTGGATTCCGACTCTGTAGTAAATCACTGGAGTGAATTTAATATTGTTATACACGGTATTTGGTGAGATTATTCCAATTTAGTTCATAGTATTTTATTTGCATGTGTTCTTAAATCATATGTGAATCTGTGAATATTACTGTGGTTTGAATTTGTTCAAGAATTGAATAAATAGTTTAATTGGAATAGAACCACGTATTAGGATATTTCAGTTTTCTGTAATCTGATTGTTTGGTACCAACTGTTAGAAATTTGAAATTAATCCTGCTGTTATTCAATCTGTGCATGCTACATAACTGTGTTTTTTCATTCTGTCATCTGCTTATCTGAATTTATTTGCAAAACTTTTTTCAAAACTTTTTCTGCAACGTAAGCGTGGTGTATTCAATTGGAACTTTTAAAGACTTTTGGAGATTTTTTAAAGTGGGTGACTTTTGTGGACTTTGTAAAATTTTAAGTGATTTCTATGGATTTTGTAGGAATTAATAAAAGTTTTTCCTGAATTTGTGGAGACTTTTACTAGAGACTTTTAAAAACTTTTGAAGACTTTTTATATTTTTTAAAAGAATATATTAAACATATATAATGTAATATATTTAACTTCTTATATATTCAAATCGTCCACAACTCATATAATTGAAAATGTAAAGTAATAAATCGTATTTTTCATGTCAATTTTTTTCCAAAAAAAAAAAACAAATATTTCGCCAAACATAAAGTGCTTTTTCCTCTTATATCAAGTAGATTAACAAATAATAAAAATATTAAAAAAAAGGTATTTTAGTAATGATCAACAAATATATATATATATATCAAATATTGCCAACATCATTCCACATGTCCACTGCTAAAGAAGCCCTCCATGCATTAGCATTCTCTCTTTTTTGTTCTTGACTCTCAAAAAATGGTCCAAAGTCTTCCCCCTCATTAATCGAAAAAGATGAAGAATCTTCGTTATCGGGTTCGATTGGAAATTCATCGGACCGACATTCTTTTCGGAGAAAATTGTTAATCCTGCACAAGCTAATACAAGTTCGGCTTGTGTACGATATGGAAATGGAGGAGCTGTTTTGAAAATTGTGAATCTTGATTTAAATATACCAAATATCCTCTCAACTACGTTCCTCAAGGAAGCATGACGAAGATTAAACAACTCTTTTGTATTTTCAAGGTCACGACCTTGACCAGCAAAATCTTGAAAATGATAACGGACACCTCAGAAAGGAGTTAAAAACTGACGTCGATTTGGAAATCCATAGTCTTCCAAAAAATATTTACCTGAATATAAAATACTTGTAAAGTTAACAAGAAATTACGAAACAATAAGATAAAAGAAAAAATGAAATAATAAAGTCGTACCTTGTGGCACTTTAAGTCCATTTCTCCTTGTTAAAGCATCACTCAACACTTTAAAATCATGTGCTGATCCCTCCCACCCACTAATCACGTATATAAATTCCAAATCAAAGTTACAAGCGGCCAAAACATTTTGAGAAATTGTTCCATGACGATTTCTGTAATTGCTTGTATCACGTCCAGTTACCATTACTGGAATATGGGTACCATTAATAGCTCCAATACAATCCTAAAAATAATAAAACAGTACAAAAAATTCACGAGAACACTAATGAAAGCATAAAACAAAAATTATAATAAGTCTTATTTCATCACTTACTTTAAAGTAAGGATAAAATCTTGTACTTTCCCTTATTTTTTCTGGCACAACGAATTCCAGTTTGACCATCATATCTACCGCAAATTTGTTTAATGTCTGTAAAATCTTGTTGAAACTTCGACTAGTAGTGAAATGTGATCGACCAAATTTTTGACGAATCAAGCAATATTTAGTATTTTGACCAACAATAAGTAGGAACGTTGCAAGCATCTCTTCAACACAAATATACCTAGTATCCTGTAAGGGTGTTTTTTCTCTAATGATATTGCTTAATTTTAGAAATATATCCGGATACATTCTATAAACTTGTGGAAAGTTTTCTGGATCATCCTTTAATATTTTATGTATATAGTCATATCCATATCTAGTTTTTGGTCACCTAGTTAGTGAACGTGCAATACGTGCACAACGCATATTATTTACAAGATCATTTATTACGTAGAGAATTGCTTGAATTGCCATCCACAAATATCGTCTGGTTTCATATAATGCTTCCTTATTGTCATCTTCTTCATTCTCATCCACTTCTTTTTCATGATATTCATGTATGTTAACATTAGACATTATATATATGGAAGTACCTAAACATAGAAGGAACAAAAATTTAATACATAGACAAAGATAACGTTAATGTGACGTAAAATGAATCAATTGTCAACAAAGTAATAAAATATCAAAACAATACAACCAATAAATCAAACAAAAAACAATTCAAAAACTTCAAAAGTTACTACCAATCGTATCCAAAAAAACAAAGCCCCAATTTAATTTAAATGTTATCCATAATGTTCTTCGGGCGTCATGCTCAAGAACTCAGACTTTTTTGCTTTTGTATTAAGCAAATCAAGGACCTTAAAACGATCATCATCATCCAAGTTTGGAATCTCCTTGATAATGTTCTAACAATTAGGCTCTCCGGTGTCAATTAATTCAATTGCTTGAGTGATCTTGCCAACTGTACTAGCAAGTTTGTCTATAATGTCTGATTGAGTGCTTTTGGGCTCAAACGAACTAGATTTTGCTTCAAATTATGTTCTACTTTGTTTTCGAATTGGTGGGGAAACCTCTGAACTTATAAAATCTTGCTTATCGGGTACTATAAATGTTTCAGTATCAGGATCATACATGAAGTCGTCTATTGAACTGTCTCTAACTCTTCTTTCTTCAGTATAAAAAGTTCTTGCATCAGTATCATCCCCTAATGCAATTGAGTGTGTCCCAACAACTGTCCCACTTCCAACTGCAATTCTCAAATCCTCATAGTCTGGAAAGTGTCTATGCGATAACTTTTATCTTCGGGATGTGACTATTAAAGAAAAAAAATATGTATGAGTGCTAATATATGAATCATACACTTCACTAACCAATAACTCAAATTTCATATATTTCTAAATCAAGTAATAAAGGAAGCTCACCATAAAGTAATCGTCTCATACTTCATCACTAGCAGTGAATTTCTTCATCACATGATCCCATCCAAACCCAGAGTTATGACGCACAAGCTTAGAATACTTGTTGTACTGTTTTTAAAATCATTTCACACGACTTTTATATTGGGCATAAGTCTTTTCAACCCCAAGTTTTCGTTTAAGATGAGGAAGTATGTTTTTCTACGATTATCTTGCTCAACAGACCATTACTATCACGCCAACTACGTGTGGTAGCATCAACCATGAGTTTTAAAAGCTCATTGTTTTCTTCCGACGTCCATTTCTCATATTTTTCGGTACCTTTTCCTTGAACCTTGTCATTTCCGTGGGTTGAATCTTCCATTAGAACTAGTGTCATATAATTAGAGAACAAATATTTAGGCAAATACAAAATGAGCAACAAAAAGTCAAGCAAACATAGCTACTCGAGTTCCAAAAAACGGATATTTCATGAAAAAAACTGATCATGTCTATATGATAACATAAGAAATTTACCCACAAAAAGAAAAATGCTAGAAATGATAATTGTTTCCCTCCAGTTCCATTTCCATTAGATTCTTTCTTCAACATATATCTCATTAGGTGACAGTAAAAGCATATCATGTGAAATCATGTAATACCCGTGCTCCTCCTAGACAGGTTATTACGGTGTTGTTACTAGGGATCCCAATACATTTTATTACGCTGCGATGACAGACACCAGTTCAGAATCATATCATATAGCTGCATGGTAGACCTCAAATCTACTTTCAGGGCATCATGTGGAAGTGGCAAATACTTCTCCATAATTGCTAGAATCATACTCAGTAGTAGCATACTAGATTTCGACTCTTCATTTCAGGTCATTCTATTGCATGTTGAAGACCTCTTTGTTGGATTGAATACAATTTTTCTATACCAAAGGTGAAAAAAGCACCATAAAGAACAATTTTTTTTGTTTTAGGCCAAGTCCTTATTGCAACTAATAGCTCATAGTCAAAATGGATTGCAGACAGTTCTTACCAATACCGAACATTATGGCTCAATGTTAGAAACACTCAACTTCAGGATCAATGACTTTAAAACAATTCATCAGATTCCTCGACAAGCATGTAAGATATGGAACCAGAGAGGTGGAGTTAAAAGATGAAACTGTCACCAGAAACATATGCAAACAAATTTGCTTTAGGACACCAATAAATCATCTCTCTTTTTTCTGGCAACTGTAGTTACCATTTTGCCAGTAATAACTCATTCATACAGTGTACAACTTTGAAATGATTCTTGGTTTAAGATTTTTCATCAACATAGTAATCCAAAACATAGAAGCTCCACTTACAGTTTAAATTCTGAAACGCATTTTTCTTAATTAACTACCAAACAAGAGGTGTCAAGCAAGAAAGCCTAATAAGGTGTGCATAATAGTATATAAATATAAAAAAATAAGGAAAGAAACATATAATGAGGCAGGATCTATCTTTATAATCAGAAACTTACAAATAAGTAGTACTAAGAAACAGACAGTCACTTTAAATAAAAATTTGCAGCCAATTCCATCTCAAATTACAGAAATCTTATCTAGGTAATACATCATTACCAGCTAATAAAATCTTTAATATCTACACATTTATTATATCTTTCTTTTTATACTTTTCTATTTGTAAATCAAATAAAAAAATGTTCTAAGGCGAAACCTGTATATTGGAGGAGTGCCTACTTCTTATATTATTTGCCTACCATATTATCCTCAAACCCTTCTGTCATGTTCATCAAAAACTATGGATAACTCACCCACTGGACAACTTATAAAGGATAGTTATCTCTAGAGTAAATTATGCACGGCTATTTCCTATTAAACAGTCTGGTAGAGGGACAAGGAAAAGAAAAATGATAAAAGAAAAAAAAATCAGAAACACAATTTTGATCAGAGGTTCCAAGGAATGATCCCCAATAGTTTTGATTCTTGCCTTCCAATTGTGATTTTTTGACATCCACCATCAATAAAGAGTCATTACCTTGCTTGATTTACACACACCCATCCATTGCTACTATCAGGAAAAGTACCACCAGCCATGGAAAACGTATTCAATCATTTGTAACAATACGAATTATTTGCCTACTTGTTGTATTAAGATAACTTAAAGGTTAAACTATGTTATTGGGGGTTGTTTGATAAAACTTTTGATTAAAATATACCTATGAGACTACATTCACAAACATATAACCAAACACAAAGTTACACACACAAATCATACCAGTCTCTATAACCTGAACAACATCAATCAAAATTCAGCAAAATGAATATTTTGGATCAAATTCAACACATCAAAAATCAAGAATCCAAATGAAAATAATAATTGAGAACATAAATTCACACAGTTGTACCAACAATTGTCCCAAATTGCCAGATAGATGCCACACAATTCAGCACAGCGGCGACAATCAGGTTTGGATAATAAGGCATAGCAGTGTCAGCTGCGACCACAGGCTGTTTTGGGTCAAAGGTGTGTGCTTGTTGCGAGTATATGACTCTTCGAGTTGCAGGTGTGGGCACATATGGGGAATCAACCCCAGGTGGGTACGACTTAACCAGTTCACTATTTTTATCAACACCGGTGTGAATGGTGGTTTCAAGGGTCCAATTTCAGGTTAGGGCGGAGGGTTTTGCATTTTAGGCTGGAACGAATTCGTGTTTTTCTGTAGGTATGTTGAACTGGTTCAGAAATCATAAACTCCCTAGAGTCATCTTCTTCGATTCGCAATTTTGGAGATGATTTATCCATAAATCAAACAAAATACTTATAGAGGGAAAGATAGAGAGGTGCAGAGCTGATTACCTGATTGAAGGAGATGAAACCCTAGAAGAAAAACAATAGCCCTGTTACTATTACGTGAGACCTTCACTTGTGAGAAATCTCTCGACTGATGAGAGATTTTTCCTGTGAAAATTCTATGTAGGTTTTTTACTCAAAGTCTCTTAAAGCCTAATAAATTATAAATTTCCCAAAAGTCTTTCTTATAAAATTTTAATTGAATACCTCAAAATTTATAGAGACTTTTTAAAAGTCTTTATAAGTCTCTATTGAATATATCGAGACTTTTAGAGAGTTTTTAAAAGTCTCAATTGAATACATCGAAACTTTTTAAATTTTCCAAAGTCTTTAAAAGTCCCAATTAAATACACCCCCTAAGTGATCTGATATATTAAAATCACTTATGTCTGTAAGTAGTAGCCACCCTTTTACAGAACCTGCAATGGGTTCGAAGGTCGAATTGTCTCAATTCGATGGAAAGGGGGATTACTCGGTTTGAAAGTAGAAAATGAGGGTCATATTGGTCCAACAAAGGGTTGCTAAAGCCCTTGAAGATCCTGAAAAATTTTCTGATGAATTGAAAGCTAAGCCTAATGAAATTCTAGATATGAATGAAATTGCATATAGTTCTATTATATTGCACTTATCTGATAACATTGTAAGACAAGTTGAAGAACACAAAACCGCTAGAGAATTATGGACTGCATTAGATACTCTGTTTCTGACTAAGAAATTGCCAAATAAAATTTACCTCTTAGAGAAACTGTTTAACTTCAGAATGGATGTTGGAAAAGACTTTGAAACTAATTTGAGTAACTTTAACATTTTGGTTAAAAGCCTTTCCCATAATGACAAAAAATTTGAAAATGAGGACCTTGCAGTGATCTTTCTTAATTCCCTACTTGATTCCTATAGGGATATCAATAATGCAATAAAATATTCAAGAGATGCTTTAACGCAATCTATTGTCATCAATGCTTTAAGAGCTCGAGAATTGGAAATCAAGAGAGAATCTAGACGTTCAAGGGAGGAAAGTATGTTTGTGAGAGGAAGAACTGAAAAGAAGGAAAGTAACTCAAACAACAGAAGATTCAAATCTAAATCAAAAACTAGATCTAAATCACGAGATAGAAGCAATAAAAAGTGCTACCACTGTGGGAAAATGGGACACTTTAAACATGATTGCTTTGATTGGAAGAAAAATCAAGAGAAAGTGAAAGTCTTATTCTTCTCTCTCCTGCCGTCCATTTCAATAAATGAGAGAAAAGTTGAAGCTAATCTCAACCCTCCATTTTGATCAATGGCCCATAATTTTTCAAACAAACACAAATACTTGTGAAATGTAAGTTGCCAATAGAAGGTTGCCAAGTGGCCAACAAATAGAGAAAACAATTTTTGTCACTTGTAAAAAACGTGATTAATGGGTTTTGAAAACATTTCACAATCTTCACCTTGTTTTCACAAACCCCTAGCTTTCTTTAGTTGCTACAATGCATGTGACGGTAATGTTTTTGCCCTACATCATCGCCCTTAGTACCTGCAAAAGAAATTAACCTATATCAGTATGTAGTAAAGATAAACAAGCCTTAAATTTAACTACATGTAGAATTTTGGTTCCCATATCAGATGGGTTCACGTCAGTGTGAATTTTTTCAAGTATAACATCACCACAAGCAATTTTTTCACGTATGAAATGGTACTTCAGGATCTTGAATAATTCTGCGATTGGTTATGAGTTAGACAGTCTTCTTGTAATGACTATGTCTGATGAAGAAGTTGATAAGGATTGGATCTTGGATTCAGGGTGTACATTCCACATGTGTCCTAATAAATCATGTTTTAATAATTACAAAGAAATTGAACCCAAGAAAGTATTTATGGGCGATAATAACTCTCAAAGTATTCTCAGTATTGGTGACATCGCTATCAGAATGCATAATGGCATTGTCAGGAAATTGAAGAATGTGAGACATGTCCCGAATTTGAAAAGAAATCTCATCTCGTTGGGATCTCTTGAAGATTAGGGACATTCTTTCAAGTCTGAAAATAACACCTTGAAAGTTATAAAGGGATCTTTGGTAGTCTTTAAGGGACCAAGAAGAAATGGATTGTACTATCTTTTGGGAGAGACAGTTATCCCTCAAGATGCTAAATCTTTGACCATAACGGAAAATAAATCTGAATTGTGGCACAACAGAATGAGACATATAGGAAATAAAGGTTTAAAGTATCTAAGAAATCAAAAGTTGCTTGGGAAGATACGATTGAGCCTCTTGAATTTTGTGAAACGTGTGTGTTGGGCAAGTCGCATAGGGTGAGCTTTGAGACTGGATCACATACCATCTCTAGGCCCCTAGACCATGTCCACTCAGATTTATGGGGACCGAAAAGTCATCCTACATTTGGAGAGAATAAGTACTTTCTTTCTATAGTTGACGACTACTCTAGAAAAGTTTGGACTTATCCATTGAAATCTAAATCTGAGACTTTTCAAAAATTTCGAACTTGGTTGAAGATGGTGGAAAATCAACTTGATAAGAAGTTAAAGACTCTAAGAACTGACAATGGATTAGAATTTTGCAATGCTGAGTTTGATAACTTCTGTAAGCAAAAAGGAATTGTAAGACACAGAATCATTAAGCACACACCACAACAAAATGGGGTCGCGGAAAGAATGAATAGAACTCTAATGAACAAAGTAAGATGTATGCTTATCAGTTTTGGATTAGCGAAAGGTTTTTGGGCGGAGGGGCTGTATCTACAGTTGCTTATCTTATAAATCGATCTCCATGTAGTTCTGTTGAATTTAAAACTCCACAGGAACTTTGGACGGGAAGACCCCCAAACCTTTCTCATATTAGAGTGTTTGGATGTGCGGCATATGCACATCAAGTTGAAGGAAAATTGGACCCTAGAGCTGCTAAGTGTGTGATGCTTGGGTACTCGGAAGGTGTTAAGGGGTGTCGATTATGGGTGTTAGGCGTTCAAGGCATTAAAATCATTAATAGTAGAAATATGGTTTTCAATGAATTCGAAATGCCATGCTTCAAAATTGATAATTCTAAAGAGAAAATCAATGAGACTACTTCACGGAATGAGGTGAAGCTAGCAAGGCTAAGTCCCACTCAGCATGAAAATATTGAAGAGGATGTACAACAATTTGATGAAAATGTTGTTAACACGGATGAAGGTGAAGTAGGTCCAAGTGAAGTCGAGACTAAAATTGAAAATCCAAATATTCCCACTATTGAAACAAGTGCTCAAGATTATCAATTGGTGATAGATAGGGAAAGAAGGCAATTAAACTAAATCCAAGATATGAAACTCGGGTGAATCTTTAGAGTATTCAGAACCTTTATCATATGAAGAGGCTACGAATAGCTCTAACTCTGAAAAATGGAAAGATGCAATGAAAGAAGAAATTAAATCATTACTTGAAAACAATACGTGGAAATTAGTAAAGAAACTCAAAAATCAAAGAGTTGTTCAATGTAAATGGATTTTTAAACTAAAAGACGGGATTGTGTCATCTGACCCTTTGAGATATAAAGCGAGGCTAGTTGCCAAAGGATTTATTCAAAAAGAGGGTGTTGACTACAATGAGATCTTCTCACCGGTTGTCAAATATAAGACCATAAGGTTGATGCTTGTACTAGTTGTTCAGTTCAATTGGGAACTTGAACAATTAGATGTCAAGACGGCCTTCTTACACGATAATTAGATAAGGAGATCTATATGAATCAACCTCAAGGGTTTGAGGTGAAGGAGAAAGGAGATTATGTGTGCAAGTTGCAAAAGTCATTGTATGGGCTCAAACAAAGTCCAAGGCAATGGTACATTAGGTTTGACACATATGTGTTGTAGATTGGTTTCAAAAGAAGTGAATACA